TTTTCTAAGATATGAAATAATTGCAAGAAAAAATACTTCTCTTTATTCTTGTGAAAAATGATTACACATGCGTACATGTTTTGAGCCAGGGCTCGAACAACCTATCTGGGCACGGTTTGTTATCATTTGGCCCTATCGAGACCCCGTCATTATGAAGTAATTTCCTTGTAACAAAGTTGACATCCAAAGGCAATGACCCCCCCAGTAATCGAGGTTTATTGTAGGGAACCTCATATACTGTTAAATGTTGTCTTTAACACCGATTCATGGTTGGCCTTAGATTTTTGAGTTAGCATGATCCGTTGTTGCCTCTTTAAAACCCTTGCGGAGAAACCCAATTGAGACAAAAACAGTTCAAGGGAAAAAGAGTGCAACGCGTGCTTTAAGACCTAAAGCTTCGTGCCACTCTTTGTCGATGACCTGCAGGTGTTAGTCGAAAAATAGAAAAAATTGAAATGGGGCCATACCTTCATTTGGATTTCGGATGTTTAATGTGACCTTCCTCAGTACCAAGTCCCCGTGAACTTTGACCTCGATCATTTCTCCTCTCATTCTGTGTAGAATTTCGCCCAGATCCACTGTCTCTACAGTCCTTATTGTATGGTTGATATCGATCTCTTTTTGACCTCGGTTCCCGATCGATATCTCTCTTGATTATATCCACGGGAATGTTAGGATAAATGGACCCAAAATGAGGCCCCAGTTGATCATCCTCAACCCTGATCTTCGATTGATACCGATCGTCTTCATCAGCCCAAGTGACAGCTAGGTATTCGATCAAATTTTGCTTCAGATGCTGTGAAGCTATGGAACTCCGAATATTAAGACATTGAGTGAAAGCTTGAACAAGCCAATCGTCGGTGACTGGTAGCAAATCCATTCTCTCCGTTTGGAACTGAGATACGAATTCCCTAAGCATCTCGTTATCTTTCTGCCTTACCTTGAAAAGGTCTGACTTTCTTGTTGTAACCTTAATGGCTCCAACGTGCGTCTTCACAAAAGAATCTGCAAGCATAGAAGATGAATTAATAAAATTAGGCGGTAAATTATGATACCATATCATGGCACCCTTCGATAGTCTTCCCGAAATTCTTCAGCAATACCGATTCAATTTCATCATCTTCCAAGTCATTTCCTTTGATGGCGCACATGCACGAGGTGACATGTTCATTTGGATCAGTCATCCCGTTATGCTTAGGAATCCCGAGCATACGAAACTTCTTGGGGATTGGCTTCGGAGCCGCACTTGGGGGAAAGGTTTTTTCACAAACTTTTTAGAATCTAGTCCTTTCAATATTGGTGGTGCCCCTGGGATTTGGTTGACCCTGGAGTTATAGGTTTCCACATTCTTATCAATTTCCTCGGTTTTCTTTTCTCCTGTCTCGATTAGCTTCGTCAACTCTTCGAGCATTTTTATAATAGTGGGATTGGTCTCCGATTTCTTGTCATTCGATGTTTTCGAATTTGATTCGACCCTGTGCACAACTTCTCGGGACGGCTTGAGTTCGACCATTCTCGCGCGTGGTTCTGATTTTGGAGCTGAGTTATTGCTGCCTGTTGGGCTAGCAACATTTCAAAGACTACCCGCAGGCTAATCCCGCCATCTTCACCGCCATGCGCATTCTGAGTAACTTATCGGGTACCCCCACGAATGCTGCTTTCGGGATCGACGATCACATTTACATTGATGGCTACATGTGAGCTGACGTTGATTGAGTCTACAGGTGGAACTCCATCGAGGCCAGTAGAGGGTGCACCATTTCCTAGTGCAATGTTCTCATTCTCGCCGTGGTGACTGAGATCATTGTCAATGTGTTGAGGTGCTGCCTGAGAGTTTGACATCTTATAATCCTGTAATTAAAGACACTTTAAAGAATAAGCGTAAAATAGTGTGTGTTACGAAAATTTATTTTTGGAAATCACTATTATCCTTAGCCCACGGTGGGCGCCAAACTGTTTACCCTAAAAGCGGATAACAATTGAATTTATACTGTAGTTTTAAGGACACGTGATTTACTTAGCACAAATTGTGAGGGAACGTAGATTGACAATGAAATTAACTGCGAATATAAATGAAGCAAACCAAATAAAATGTATAGCTTTTATCTTTGAGCTAGACCTCCCTCAAATTAAATGAATGTTTCGCCGGAAAGTATGAACACAGTAACAAGAATATTGGGAGCTTAAGAGAAGGTGAATATATAGCTTTATGTAACGTGAATATGATCTCTCTTTTACAAATGATCAGAACCCCTTTATATAGTAGGGGAGTCCTACTCTAAGTACAATTCTAAATACAGTAAGAAATCTCATGATTGGCTAATTAATCAGCCTCCTCTTGATACGTGCTGGGATTTGCACCGTGATCCTCGCCCGATTGCGGATATTTTGTCTTTTCGTTATTCAACCCGGTAAGATACCCTCGATCTCCATCTTACTCGGGCCCGATCTTGGTCGACCTCAATCTTGATCGGTCTCGATTTTGGTCGGTCTCAATCTAAATCGATCTCTGGGTATCAAGCTTGACAATTTAACTCTGCGCCATAATTTGATATAAATCGAAACCAATCCTTGACTTATCATGCTCCAGCCTTGATCAGTCTCACAAAAAGGGCAAATCCGATTTTGACCGTATACATTACCGTTATCTTTGTTTTCACAATGAAAGAAGAAGAAGTTATCTGTACTTTGGCTATTAGTTAAATTTTTTTCAAAAAATAAATATAAGTTAAATGAGGACGACCAAATAGAGCGCTCCGTAAAATTTTTACACTGCCACAAATAAGATTAGGGCCGTGCATAATTTGGTAAATACCAAATTACCGTACCGAAACAAAAAATTTTGGTATTTGGTATTCGATATTTTGGTATTTGGTATGGTATTTGGTTTAAGTTTTAAAAAATATTGGTCTCAAGTATGGTATTTGGTATTTTAAAATGAAATATCGAAATACCGATACTGTACCGAAGTATATATTATATTACACAATACACATGTTATTAGTTATAATATAAATATAAAAATCTAAAATTTTATTTTCCTTTATTCTCTAAGTTCATCAATTAACTCTAAGCAAGTAACACGACATTTCTAATGATCGAATTTATTCTTTTATGTACAGTTTCCTCTCTCTAAGTTGGTATTTGCTAGTTTTGGTCAAAACTTTTGTCAACAAATGTTTTTAGTTTTGTAATTTTGAGTACGTTAATTTAGAATATTACCGTCTATGACTCTATGCACTAGTTAGTATTCGAACCGAATAAACTGAAGTTACCTAACCGAATAAACCGAAATCGAAAGGAGAAAAATCGAACCGTACCGAATTTAATTAGGTACGATAGTATTGCATTTTAAAAAATCGAANAGAAGAAGAAGAAGAAAAAGAAACACTAAGCAGTAGCAAAGAAAGGAGCGCCGCAGTAGGTCACTATTATAAAATATCATAAACCACCTTAAAACCTGCTCATAAACATCATGTAAATTTACCGTCACCTTTATTTTCACAATGAAGAAGAAGAAGAAGAAGGAAAAATTATTTGTACTTTGGATACTAGTTAACTTTGTTCAAAAACTGTATATAAATTAAATGAGGGCGACCAAATAGGACCCTCCCCCTTCTTTAATTGACCTTTACCGTGTGGGGTTTGATGAGAGGGCGCAAAGCCCGATGCTAAACCCTAATTGAGAGCCCCATCATTTTCTAATAATCACACCCTCCATAATCGAATTCCCAACTCCCAAACTTCAGAAGAGTGACAAAATTACTTACTATTACTGTCAATTTTCATATCCCCGTCCAAGTTTACTTGTATACTTAAGAAAAATGTCTATTTTTACTTGTGCAATTTCAAATTAATGAATAGTTTACCATTTTATACTATTTTACCCTTCTTATCAAGTATTACTACTTATTTTTAATTTATTTTTCAATATATAATAAATATGAGTAATATAGTAAAATTATCATGTTATTTATTAGTATTTTTTAAGGGATGTACCAATTCAATAGTGGACAAGTAAACTTAGACGGAGAGAGTAATAAGTTGCGGCACTCTATTGTCAATAGAGGCGGAACAAGAATTTCAAGCTGATGAACTCAAGATTTTAATCGGTTTAAGTTACTGGGTTCTAAATTAATAAGTTATGCATATTAAATAAATTTTTTAAGTCAGATACAGAGTTCGAACCAAAGCTACTAGGTTCGGCCGAACCCGCTCTCGACACTCTAGCTCTGCCCCTGATTGTTAAACTTAATTAAAAAATTAAGACATGCATAAATTCACACTAAAATTTCTTCCGAAACCGTGCGAATAATGAGAGCTTAGTGTATGGGGTTGCTTTTTAAGTTGACATTTTTTAATGACATAATACGTTAAAGACCACAAAACCTTAAGGAATTATAATATGCGTAACTACCATTCTTAATGGAATTATAATATAATTTTCTTAAGTAGATCAAAGACAGATTTAGTTCCTTTTGTTACATCATATATATGCCTGAGTAGAAAGAATTTAATATGTTTGTATATGCATATAATGTAATCAATCAAACACACTACAAATTCTGACACTAAAAATGTTGGATGGATCTGCTACGAACTACATAGCCCGTGAACTGAGAGCAAAAAATTCCTCAAAGGGGTCAGTACAAAAGCAAGAGGACAATCAACCGCGTCTTTCCTAAGCGGATTCTTTTTTTCTCGCTCTTTATTGTGTACTGGTAGATGTTCCTATCTTACATAGTTACTCTTTGGAAAGTTAAATGAATCTTTTTTTATTGTGATTTTCCATATAACTTTTGAATATTTTAAATTTTTAATTAGTATGACTATAGTATCCTTTACGTAATTTTGAAATATAAATTTTATTTTTAAAAATGGAAGATTTTGTATCTAAATTTACACTGAATATTTAATAATTTGACCCTGATACTTCATCTTGACACATTTTTCTTTTCTTTTTATGCTGTCCAAAAAGAAACACAGCCATATAAAATAGAAGTAGGAGTATAAAATTCAAAAAGAGGGGAAAAGTGGAGTCTAAGATTTGTGCGGTCACGCTTGATTATTCTCAATCGGGCTAGTGGATTCGAGGGTTACGTAACAAAATTTCACATTCATTCAGCTATAAATAGAAAGGGCGAGCCAAATGGCTGAAGAGGAAGTGAATTGTTGCCTGTGAAGAGGAAGAAGAGAAGGAGGGTGTGTCAATGGAGGAAGCGAATAACAATAATGAATCACCCTACATTTCTTCTGTGTTGCCTGGATGGTTCTCTGAGATTAGCCCTCTTTGGCCTGGTTCGTCTCTTTACTTTTTCCTCTATGCATCTACGTTATTTTATTTATGTTATGCATTTCGTATTAGACCCAAAGACAAGTTGATTTATGATAAATTCTTACAAAATTGAGGATTCATATGACCCATCCCAACTAGTTTAAGATTGAGGTGTACTGTAGTTGTTGTTTATAAATCTAAGTGCACGCATTTTACTTTCTTCTGTGTATTTTAGAAATGTGACACCTCTGTTTTTGTCATTTTTGGTAGTTTTTTTAGTATTTAGTAGATACGTATAAAGGCAACGGATGTACTTTGTATGTATATTTGCATATCTTTTATTCTTTCAAAAATCTTTTTGATAAACATATGGAGTACCTACTGCTTATGTTGGATCTGTTTTGGTTCTGTATCCACTTACACATATTTAACTAACTGATTTTGGAACGTAAGCCTCTGTTCTTTGCCGACGCGGAGCCGGGAATTGAATGAGTCCTGATAGCCACTGAACCCATAACTCATTTTAGTTACTGGGTATATTTACACATATTTAATAAATTTTCTAATACTAATACTAGATCTAAGCAAAAGCTATTGGGTTCGTCCAAATGCGTACCTAATATTGTAGCTCCGCCGCTGCTTCTTTGGTGATTATTTGCAGTTGCCTTTTGTCATCATTTTGTGTTTTGTCAGCTTTGATTAATTAGTAGTTTTCCTTTGCTCCTTTTTGTTTCTGGTACTTCAAATTCATCAACATTTTAGTGGCCTTTTGCATCGTTTGGAAAGATTTTAGCTTTCATGATTTTGTGCCTTGTCCTGGGAATTATCCGTACTTGATAGTACCTAGTTGGGAAAGAAGTGTTTCCTTTGTATGAAAAAAATATGTATTCATTCCGCTCTATTCTTAGCATTCAAATGACACATCATTATTTGATTGTTTTTACGTGACTGTCAATTTACCACAACAACTAGCTTGAACTTTGCTATTTTTGCGAATCTCACATAGGTGGAGTTGTTTTCACTCTGCCGATTACAAACATATTCTATATGAGGAATTCACACTTATCAGTTTTCATTCCTGTACTCTCTCTTTCTATATATATATATATAAGATTTTGAAATTTGTTTATTCTTTTTGATAAGGTACGATTTTATTGAAAAAGTATCGAGATGGTACAAGTTACATTAGTCCAACATCTGCCACTAACATGGCAACTAGAAATCTCCTATCTCTTCTAAAAAATCCAAGTATTGCTCCATAGTCTCAATAGTACTTCTATTACACTGAAAATACAAGTTCAAAACACAACTATTTATAATTCTGAAAACATGTTGTCTTCTCCCTTCAAAATAAACACTATTTCTTTCCAGCCATATTGTCCATAAAACACACAAAGGAATTGTCCTCCATACTGCTTGTTTCCTTTTTGCCATTTTCTGAGATGCCATTGTTGCAACAAGCTCTTAAAACTGTTAGGCATTACCCACTCAACGCCATACATGTTTAAAAAGAGCTCCCAACACTGTTTTGCCACCCTGCAATGAATAAAGAGATGACTGACTGTCTTTATTTCTTCTTCACACATATAACATCTGTTGCTTAGAGAAAATCCTCATTTTCTTAGAGATCATTTAGCATATTTTTGTTAACACTTCTTGAATTCTTAGCTTCGGGGCCATAATAAGTCACATCTGTACCTAGGTTGAGAAATGCTCGTTAGTCAGTTATGAAGGTGATGTCTTAACGTTCTTATAATTTCTATAATTATAGGACAGAGATTCTAAAATGAAAATTTATATCAGGGGAAGCACACTCATTGAAGGTTGAAAAGATATTATTTCAGGGGAAGTCAGATTACCAAAATGTCATGGTTTTTCAGGTATTTGCATGATGCATTAAGGTTTGAGTTTGCTCCTCTCATTCATTGATGAAAATATGCTCTCTAATTTGATGCTTATTCTGTAATTTTGTGTTTGCTGCAGTCATCAACTTATGGAAAGGTGCTTGTTTTGGATGGTGTGATACAACTCACAGAGCGAGATGAATGTGCTTACCAAGAAATGATCACTCATCTCCCACTCTGCTCAATTCCAAACCCCAAAAAGGTCCATTATCTAATACTAGTGAATTTAACATTTCAGTGTAAATTAGAAAATCTTAAGAGATTTAAGTATATTTGATCTTTATGAAGTGTCAATTATGGGTTTTTTGCACTTTGCTAGTTGCCATGACAATGGCACATCTGCTTCTTACTTTGTAGATAAAAAGTATAATGTGTGTGATCAAGGCTCACTTGTCATATCTTGCAAAGAACAGATATAAACCCAAACTTCTTTTCTCTTAAACTTACTGTATATGATAATTCTTGCATCCTATTTTCTGTGGCTTTGCCTAGTAATTTCATTTTATAGTAAGTCAATAAGCATGTTGGTACGTGCTATCTTCTTGGTTTTCCGACGGGTTATGTTAAAAGGGAAGGAGAACTTGTAAGCGGGAAAATTGTCATCCTTTACTTGCCTTCTTAATATAACATGTACTGTTTCAATGTGAGTTGTGATACCACTGTGAATCATGCATGCAGTAAATGCTGTATTCATCCTTATTTTTGCATAAAGCTATTTTATGGAATTAGAGGTTAGTTTCTTCCACTAGTGTGTCACACTTCAAGTTTGATTCTCTTACTTCAGGTGTTGGTTATTGGAGGAGGCGATGGTGGTGTCTTGCGTGAGGTGTCTCGGCATTCTTCTGTTGAACAGATAGACATATGTGAGATTGACAAGATGGTAATTGATGTAAGTCTGCTGGCTTCTTCATGCTTTTAACTGAAGTTGTACTTTGATTCCTTTTTTCTTCTTCTCTCTTATCTGCACTAAGGGTAAAGAAAAATTGTTGAATTTGGCAAGTTTAAAGATTGTACTTCTGTGTTTTCCAGTACCCTGTGGTATATTTGATTATTTGGTCTTGATACTGCAAAACTTACCCCTTTCTATGATAGTTAAATGTCTTTAATGTTTTGATCCCTGTAGTTCATTTCCCATAGTTTCCTCGAAGCATTGCTCAAAAAAAAAGGGCAAAGATCTCATGATTCCTTTTTCTCTTTTTCAGGTCGCTAAACAATTTTTCCCTAATGTAGCCATAGGATATGAGGATCCCCGGGTTAAACTCCATGTTGGTGATGGTATGATCTGAGTAGATGACAAAACTAATTCCTTTTTGTTGGTTTTTTTTTTTCTTTTTGCATTTATCAATTACCTGTTCATGGGCTTTCCTTTTTCCTCTCCCATTTCTACAGGAGTCGCATTTTTGAAAAATGTTCCAGAAGGAACTTATGATGCTGTTATAGTGGATTCCTCTGACCCCATAGGTAATCTATTTACTTTCCTATTGCCTCTGTTGTAGAAATTTCATCACTTAAGTTACTCTTCCTTTAACTCCAGGTCCAGCCCAAGAGTTGTTCGAAAAGCCTTTCTTTGAAACAGTAGCAAGGGCTCTTCGTCCTGGAGGGGTTGTCTGTACACAAGCGGAGAGCATATGGCTTCACATGGACATAATTGAACATATCGTGGCAAACTGCTGCCAGATCTTCAAAGGCTCAGTCAACTATGCCTGGACCACAGTTCCTACTTATCCAAGGTACACTTGCAAGATATTTGCTGATATGTATGTATTATTTTCTTTTTTTTTCCACAGTGGGGCTCGAAATTAATGTTATTCTGGTGTTATAATTCATGACTTTTCATTTCTGGTGGTGGTTACTGAGAATACCTACTGTTGACATATTGGATACTCTGCTGCAGTACTGATCCCCATTTGGGTCGTTTGCCTGTCTTTTATTTCAGTGGTGTTATTGGTTTCATGCTCTGTTCTACTGAGGGACCTGCTGTTGATTTTAAGAATCCTACTAACCCCATTGACGCCGATGATAGCCACACCAAAACTAGAGGACCCTTGAAGTTCTACAACTCTGAGGTATGATGTCATTCTGTTCTCTGGCTCTCTCTTTNCTCAAACCAGATTCACTCTGCATCGTTCTGTTTGCCATCTTTTGCGAAGAGGGTGATTGAATCCAAAGGAAAATGAGTCCTCGGCGGAGCGGAGGATTAGCTGTTTTAGAACACCTCATTCTTGCCCTATGCAAGACAGGATTATCTAGCATTGGAATTTTTATGTTTAATTTGATGCTGTGACTGGCCAGTTGGAAGAGCTGTATGACCCACAGTGGCTTATAAATGTCTTGTTCCTGTTGTTCTAGTTGTAATAATCATCCTTTAACCCAATCCTGAGTTCAATGATTGACATTTTTCGCCGGAGTATATTGCATCTCTTTATCTCCATTCGTGATGCCACTATTATATGAACATGTATTTGTTTAGCCAAGCTCTCAAGATTTGCTTATATTGAGAAATAAAAATATTATGTCAAAATGGATGTTCGGATAAGTATTTGGGAGATTAACAGTTGTTTGTAGCCAATATTATCTTCAAGAAATGTTTTTGGATCAATATCGCCCTTCCTAGTGGATGATTGGATATTTGGATTACATTTATCAAGGACCAATCCTGTTGAAATTAAAATTTCCAATAATCAACATATGTTGCTTATTTCATTCAAGAAGAGTAATATGTTTTGAAATTTCTAACTATTGCACATGAAACTTCCAAGAACCAAATCGTTTCACTGTGAGATTCCAAAAGTTGCTAATCTATTTCCTTCCCGGAGAATATTCGGTGAGTCGTTATTCTCTGGATATTTAGCTTTATTTATTTATTTATTTATTTCTTTTTTTTTTGAAATTGAATAACAAATGGGCGCTTCTTTGTTCCCTGAATTAGAACAAGACCTATTTCTAGTCAAGCATTACAAAGATAACAATTAATGTAACCTCAACATGTGGAATAAGAATCATACATTAAGATATTAATACCCAAGAGAGTTTCCTTAAAATAGGACAGAATGTTCAATTTATATCATATAATCCACGAATGGCATCCCTGGCGTTCATTGAACTCAAAGCCAAAGGAATGCATAACCTGGGGATTTCTTGCAACCCAACACACTGCTTGGACAGCTCTTATTATCAGAACTCAGATATGTCAAAAGTGTTATTTAGAGGAAAATGCTTTACAAGTTTTATACACATGTACTAGTTAAATAACCCACGCTTCGCGCGGTCATGCTTTTGTTCTTCTAAATTTAGTTCATATTGAAGGAAAAAATTCTTATAGTACCAAAAGTACAAAAGCATACAAATAATCTAAAGGCATGCATACGGAAGTACATAAAGACAAATGTAAAAGGAAAGATTAAATAGAAAAATAAATCCAAATAAATAAAGTATAGTCTCACTTTTTGTACTCCTACAAAGAAAGAGTTCAAGATGAAGCATCCTCTTAAATCTCAATGGGGAGGAGAAGCATAGGCGGATCCAGGATTTGAGGCTTATGGGTTTCTACCGTAATTTCAAATTAATATGCAATAATAACTGGGTTCACAGTCAGATATTTACCAATATTTAGTAAATTTCTTAATATAAATAGATGGTCTACGCAAGAGTTACTGGGTTCCCGAAAACTCGTAGTCTGTGCACTAGGTCTGCCTTTGAGGAGAAGTTAATGCTTATTTTATAGAATTTTTTTTTTATGTAATGTAGGGCAGGGCATATATCGAGTATAACCGATAGCTCGAACTGATAAAATGCTATTGGGTTATCGATATCAGGTTATTAGGTAAATAGTTCAGTAACGGTTTAACGTTATTTGACTACTGGATTATCGGTTCGGGTCTCGGTTTACCCAATTTTATTAATAGTTTAACTGATAGCCCAATAAGCTTTATGAAAATTATAATTTTACCCACTAAGTATATAAAGTCACCTTATGACTTCATTCTCTCATTTTCTCATTTCTCTCCGCAGTTATTCTTCATCTTTAGACCTTAATCCCTAGAGTAACTTTTAAACTTTTCTGAATTTTTCATCTTAATTCTTCAGTTAAAATTTTTAGTTTTAAATTTTAAAGAATTAATTATTCAGATTTTTAGTTTTCCAATTTGTTTCTTTGGTTGGACGGATTCTTTAGCATTTACAATCTTAGAATTTTATTATTTTCCTGTGAATTATGCCCGCTCGTAGTGAGATACTTAGTAATATTAGATTGTTGAATGTCTTATTTCTTACTCCTACTATCTTATAACTTTGAAAATTGAGATAATTCATTGGGACTTTCAAATGCAAAGAAAGTTTTCTTTTCTAAAGTTCAAACTTAATCTCTGTTTTCTTAAAAACAAAAATTTAGTTCCTCTCTCTTAACAGTATGATCATGATTTCTATAATAAAAACATGAATTTATTGGATATTTTTATTCTTATCGGGTAAATCGACAACCGAACCGATAAGCATCGATAACTGACGAATCGATACCCGTTAACCGATATTTTATTGGTTCGATAATCGGTTTAGCATATTTATAAATCGATAACCGATATATTTAACTGATATATTCACAATCGAACCGAACCGACCGATGCGCACCCCTAATGTAATGTAAGTCTTCTTCCCTGTAGTTCCTCTTGGAAGGTCAATTGGTTTTGGGCATAATAATTTTTTTCAGTTCTATGTCAAAATCTTCAAACAATCCTTATTTATGCACATATGAAATTTGAAAAATGTCACGACCTAAACCGGAGGACTGTGACGGGCACTCAGACCTTACTTGCCGAGTGCCAACATAACATATTCTTAACCATATTGTCATGCGTAGATGGGCCAGAAGGGTTGTCATGAGATAACTCGAACATAACATAAAGAATACTTGATAAAGGACAAACCCAAAATAATATACATGAAATACACAGGCCTACAAGGCCGAACAAAATATCTATACACATGATATCTGTCTACAAGCATCTAAAGAATATATAAACATCATAAGATTGGGACAGGCCCCGTCATACCCATAAGCATATGTACATAAGTATATTGACTTGAAAGGCAACTCCGAGGCAAGTAGAGTGCAAAAACACTTCCCGTTGAACTGGTAGCCTACTAGGAAGACCGTCAACCTATCTATCAAGACCTACAACATCTACAAATAAAAGAGACGTTAGTATGAATAAAGTACTGAATATGTAGGGCAGGAAGCATAAATAAGAACTGTAATATAAAGAGAGATAGAGAAGATACAACCTGTAACATCTGAGTGCCTCTGAGAGCGACTGACATGAAATGTATAATATATATATATATATATATATATATATATATATATATATATATATATATATATATATATATATATATACATACATACGTATACTTTTAAAACATATGCCTCTGTGGGCATCATCATCATCATATCATACCCAGACATAATAGGCCCGGTAAAATATACCCGACCATCATAAGGCTTGCTAGAATCATACCCGTCCATGTGGATCTCGGTAAAATTCAATTGATCAGTGATTGCACTATAAGTGCCATACTTGGCCGACTATAGTGTGGCACAGTATAGTAAACACTCTGACCCTTTCGGGGTGGCGTAAGGTCGGTAACCTACGTATACGTTATTAGAGCTAACTCGTCACCATGAATCTTATAGGAATCAAGAAATATCAACAACATTTGATACATAAGAATAAGAGAAGCAACATCAATATCTATCTTTCCATAAGAAGGAAACAATGAAGTACTGCTAGCTTCTAAGAGTGTAGTATCTTTGGAAGCTCGTACGTTTACATTACGTACAATCAGAGTCGTGCAAAAGAAAGAAAGGGATAGCCTCACATACCTTGTATATACTTCCCAACCTCAAGCTATGCAAATATCATGGCTCCTTAGTATACAATAAGAGAAATAATACTATAGTTATCGTTTAAACGTCATAACTATTATATATCGAGCACAACCTAATTTACGATAAAACGGACAACACTTCCCCTATTTATATGACTTTTCACAAGTTACAAAAATCACCAAACAACCTAAATAATTTCAACAATACTCATATTAATCCTCCCAAAAAGTCCAACAATCAACAAAAATCCACCTACGATTTTCAGAAATTTAGGCAGCAATCAAAATGACAAGAACAATATCAAAACAACACATCCAAGCTACTACATCAAGAATAAGCCGAAACCTAGTATAAAAACCTTTCAAAACAGTCCCATATGCATAACACCTCAAACATACTTTCAACTTCAAGTTAACATATTTTCCTTCAACATCTAGGCTTGCGATGGCCTAAAATTGACTCAACCGAAGGAGAGGGGTGAAGAACATACCTTTTCATAACTCATTTGACTTTAAAACTTAACACACGAATATCATAAGACTAAAATAACTCATAAAATCACCATCTTATCATGTTAGTCACCCAGTCTCACCGCCAAAAGTACGGGTAATAACATTTTCAAATTACCGACTTTTGACGAAACTTATTTGCTTTTATTCGTTTAACTTTTAAACCATCAAACATGTTCTATGCATAATTTTATACACTTATAAACTTGAGAATACTCTTGATCTACGAGTTAGTCGACTACAACATGACACAATTTGACATGAGAGAATGTGGGATGTATCATCCCCCCTTAAGGATATTCGTCCCCTAATGCAAGAAAATCCACGGGGGTTAAGTCACAAATTTCACTACAAAATGTAACCATTCATACTACCGTGTGTTTCTTACAGGGCTATACGAGCTTGTATTCATGTGTCCAGGAATCTTTATGGGCAACTGTTACCTTATAGGGTTGATTCTACTTCTTTCATCCTTTATTTCATCTAGTAATTTCCTCAGTGTTTGAGTATTTTATAAATTTTAACAAGGTTTAACTTGTGGACTTCTTATCCTCGTAGTCGACTCTTTCTCCTTTGGTTGAGCTTCTTACGTGGCTTGCCCGTAAAGGGTTACACATATTTTGAACTTTGGTATTTCAGTGATATTCATATGTTTAACACAGTCTCATATTTTCTTTTGGTTTAGCTAATGTTCGTGTACTCATCGATTCATGATCGAGGGTTATGCTTCTTAATTCTTACCGTTGAATATTTGGCAAAATTTCTATCAATACTAAGCTAGCTGCCTGCATTTTGGCATTACATCTATAGCTTAAATTCTAAAGGCCCCTTAAACTATGTCAGTTATGTCCACGCCGAGCTCTTAATAGTTGTTGTCGGGATATTGTGTCACGACCCAAACCGATGGGCCACAACGGGTATCCGGTGCCTTACCTAACCGAGTGTTGATACCCAATTTTTACCTCATATACTTTAAACATGCATACATACTTTCAAAATATTGTATATGCATTTACAAACATGCACAAGTAGTTTTACAATTTTTCTATAATTTTTAAAAGCCTTAAATCAATTCATTTCTGCATTTTTAATTATATAAATATTCAATAATTATCCTTCATATTA